TCACTGTGTGTACTTTACAGCTGTACAGCTGTTTCCCCCAGAAAATATCTATATCCGGGGGATATTTTGTGGGGGAACAAGGAGCTTGATTTTGGCTCCACTTTTGCCTAGAGTCTTCTCTCCCTCTCTTGCATTTTTTGCTGGCCTCCCAACTCAAGAAAAGGGGTTACAAGGATTGGTTGGAGCATATACATACATATCACCCCATTTCCTTCAAGTTTTGGGCTCCATTTCTTCATCATCTTCAAGCTCTACCATCACCCCTCCATTCCAGAAGCAAGGGGAGGAACTCCAGCAGCTTAAAGTCATCAAAGTTGGTCCAAGAAGCAAGAAAAGCATTGGTCTTCAAGGGTGAGTAGCATTTCCCCCTTTTTGGTCCACTTTTTGCACCTTTTGTAAGCCATACATGCTTATTGATTTGAGCTCCGACCAAAACTGAAAAGGTTATTTTTTGAGCTCATTTTCTTGTTTCATTTAGGGCCTTTCATGGTTTGGGACCTCCATATGCCACTTCATGTTATATCTCTCTTTTGGTCCCCATTCTCGCATGTTTTGTTAGCCTATCATGCTTTTGTTTTTGGCCATTTTACAGTTCTGAAAATAGTCTTATTTTGGCCCATTCTTCATGTTTCATTAGGGGTCTTTGGCTGTTTGTGGAATATTTTGCATACCTCATGTTATAGCCTCTTTTGAGCCTTATTTTGCATTGCATTTCTAGCATGTTTGTATACTGTTTTGGAGTTTTTACAGTTCTGTAAATATGCTTATTTTTGGTCCCTCTTCAATGTTGTAGAAGGGAATTTTTCAGTTTGGGCTTTGCATATACCACTTGCCTCTTTGGCCACCTTTTGGCCCTTTTTCTTGCATAGGAGTGCAGCCATACCTGTGTTTGTTTTTGGGGTTTTTACAGTTCTGGAAAACATCATATTTTGGGCCCCTCTTCAATGTTGTTGAAGGGTCCTAATCCATTTGGAGTTAGCAGCCGTGAGTTGCTTCATAACCTCATGTTTAGGGCCATTTTTGCATGCCATTGTTGCCCTATCCTTGCTTGCTGTTTGGCCATGATTTGTACTGGAAAAATGCTTATTTTGAGGCTGCCTTGCTTCTGTCTTTTCATTCCATGTACCAATTATGCAAGCTTTGTATAGCTGTAGTTCATTCTATGCGCCTAACTTTGCATTTCGGGAGAGATTCCATGCATCGGGTGTGTTTTCGCCTCATTTCGGGGCTGTTTTTCCCCACTTTTCATTTCTGAAAATCCATTAGCATGTTTGCATATCATTTTTCCATGCCATTGCATTGCGTATGTCATCGCCTTGATTTGCGTGCCCGTGTGCACGCATTTCGAGGCACTTCATCTTCATCTATTGGCCTCTTATGTGAGTGTGGTTGAGGCTCTCTCATGTTAGTATAAGTCCATGTTGCATTCTATATGCCATTTCCATGCATTTGCATTGCATATACCATTGCCTCGGTTTGTGTGCCCGTGCGCACGCATTTCGAGGCACTTCATTTTCATCCTCCGGCCTCTTATGTGAGTGTGGCTGAGGCTCTCTCATGTTAGTGTAAGCCCATATCATATTTCCTTGTCATTTGCATTGCGTATGTCATTTTCTCGGTTTGCGTGTCCGTGTGTGCGCATTTCGTGGCATCTCATTTTTATAGCATAGTGCATACTAGGTTGTATCTTAGATCGCATTCTGTCATTTTCTCGGTTTACGTGCCCATGTGCACGTATTTCGAGGCATCTCATCTTCATAGCATTGTGTATGTTAGGATTGTATCTTAGTCGCATTTCACTAAAGTGAGGAGTATTGCATCATGTCCGGAATAGGAGTTAGCCCGGACACGGGAAACGAGGTGCACTTCGTACTCTGAGTGACGGAATGTATCTCAATTCCCCAGTCACCGACACTCCGGATTACCCATGATGGAGTTAGGTTCTTGTTGTGTTTACACGTGCATTCATCCCATATTAAATTGCACATTTCGACCCCTCGGCCATCATGCCTCGATATGCGTGATTGGTGCCCTCCTTAAAATGGCTTGTTCTCTCTCCTGTTTTA